CCACACAATTTCACCATCACTGCTGAATCCCATTTTGCAATGACGCACATTTTTCCCCCAGAGGAGATTAAAAAGCTAAAAAGGGAAACTCTCAAGTAGATAAAATGTTTAAATGGGAGTAGGAAGCAGAAGAATTCATGTCACTCTGAAATGAAATAATAATAGTAAATTATAACAGCTCTCAATAGTTACTTAGTTCTTAGGAAGAGGACTTTACCATAGCAACCGCTGCATCAAATTGTTCTTAAACTGCTTCCAGGCCCTACAAACACAGAGACGAGGGACAGGGGAGAGGAAATGTGTCTCTTAGACCTACATTCCTTCAGTGTGGCGTTGAAAAGCCAGGGCTGCAGTGTGATGACACAAAGAAAGGCAGGCAAGCATCACACGTATGAACACTGTGTTTATTTTATGTGTCTGGGTGATTGCGTTCATACAGATCTATGTACCACATGTGCGAAATGCCTGCAGGGGCCAGGCTCCTAAGATTGGAATTACGATGATTGTGAGCTGATGTGGATGGTGGGAATTGAACCCTGATCCATCTCTCCAGCTTCTTCATGCTTTTTTGTTTAAAAGATTTATGTTAAATTATACATATACACACATATATTTGTGTTCTGTGTACATGAGTGCAGGTACCCTCAGAGGTCATTGCTGCAGGATGTTTGATCACACTGTGAACCCTGAAATTATGTTACTTACTGAAAAAAAAAAATTCTGTTTCTAGTTGTGGTGTGACTCAGCCTTAGCATACACTTTCAATCCCTCTGGGTGGAATACAGACACACCTTTCGTACACACTTTTAATCTCAAACAAGGAAGGCAAAGCTAGTCTGTAGAAGGAAGCACCCATGTTTGAAACTGATGTCTAATTGGGTAGCAGACAAAGTGACAAATCAAAGGAAGATTTGATAGAATAGGGTATGCCCAACTCTCACAAGAACAGAGAGGAAAAGGAAGCTATTTAAGAGAGTACAGAGAGGGGAAAAAAAGAGGAGAGAGAGAGAGGAAGGAAGTTTTACTGGGACAATTGTATGGAGACAGATTGAAGAGAGAACAAGCTAGACACAGATGAAGACAAAACGACCAGAGAATGACAAAGAGCCAGAAGATTAGAACAGACTGCTAAAGTTAGTATGAGGCCAAGCAGAGCAATTCATTCAGGAGAAGCCGAGAGAACCAGGATTGAATCAGTCAGCTTGGAGAGGAGTTTGAGCCAGACCAGCTGAGCTGAACTAGCCAGCCAGAGCTCAGAAAGAACTAGGAAGTGTTAAGCTTATTCAGCCCCAAGTCTAAGAGGCTGAAAACACTCTAGATAAGATTGCACAGAGGCTAGAAGTTTCCAGGACTAGGCCTAGGTTAGCAGATGGAGACAGTAAGCCTCAGAGGCAACAATTATTGCAGGAGAATAAAAGTTATAGTTACAGGTCATATCCTCTGGAGCTGGAGGTACAGGCATTGGTGAGCTACTCTGTGCCAGTACTGGGAAATGAACTTAGGTTGTTCGTAGGAGTAGTACATCTCTTAACCACTGAATCATCTCTGCAGCCCCAATGCCTTGCTTTCAATACAACACTGTCCATGACACTGTGTTCATAATGGAAGAATCAATTTAAGTATCTTGATATCCTTCCTAACAGCTCAGGGCTTCTGGTTATTTAAGTATGAAATAGAATCTTTATTAAATAGTGGTAGGGTTTCTCCTTTCATGGGATTACTGAACTAGTGTTACATTTTTCAAAAAAAAAAAAAAATTTATGCTGGGAGGCAGTGGTTGTACACACTTTTATTCCCAGTACTTGAGAGGCAGAGGCAGGCAAATCTCTGAGTTCAAAGCCAGCCTGGTGATAGGGTGAGTTCCAGCCCAGCCAGGGCTATACAGAAAAATCCTATCTCAAAACAAAACAAAAGAAAACAATTTTTTTTAAAGATTTATTTATTTTATTTATGAGTACACTGTAGCTGTCTTCAGACACACCAGAAGAGGGCATTGAATCTTATTACGGATGGTTGTGAGCCACCATGTGGTTGCTGGGATTTGAACTCAGGACCTCTGGAAGTGCAGTCAGTGCTCTTAACCGCTGAGCCATCTCTCCAGCCCAAGAAAACAATTTTTATCATATGAGTTAATTGTACATATTAACTGAGTTCAGTGTGTCTTTTCTTTTTCTTTCTTTCTTTTTCTTTTTGCTTGTTTGTTTTGAGATAGGGTTTCTGTGTGTAGCTCTTGCTATCCTGAAACTCACTCTGTAGACCAGGCTAACCTCAAACTCACAGAGATCTGTTTGCCTTTGTCTCTCAAGTTCTGGGGTTAACTGATGTGCCACCACACCCAGTTCAGTGTGACATTTCTGTACCTGCATACAGCACGCACTATCGATGAAATCCAACCACCTAGGGATGGGATGAAAGCTCCTCCAATTTCTGAAACTCCTTCCTCTACGTCTAGAGTTGGGGTGTTACTGGTGTGTACCACCATGCTTCCTCTCAATGATGCTGAGGACTGAACCCATAGTTTCATGCATGCAAGGCAAGCAGTCTACCACCTGAGCTACACACATCCTCAGGCCCCAGCTCTCTGTGTGTAGCAGTAGTTAACTCTAAATGAAGTAACAGCTTCACATTCTCTCATACCTGTCTATGTGCACTTTTAAAAATCTGCACATATGTTTGGTTTTTCCCTATGGTTTTCAAGCCTCTCCAATCAGAAAGCCTTGGCAGGGTCATGGTTGTTTAACTGTAGCAAATAACTGCTTCGTTACCTGGTTTCTACCTTTTCTAGTTAAAGCAGCAAGCAGAAAAGGATTTGTGACTACAGGAGAAATTGTTGCTACAGTGAGAACAGTTACTGCAGTGGTTCTTATGAAGGTTGAGAAACAGAGTTACTGAGTGGCAGGCTGTTTGCTCCTTTCTGTTTCACATCATCACTTGAAAATGACACAGGGGGCTCTCCATCCTGACTCCCACGGCCTCTTTCTCCACAGCAACCTCTTCCTGGCTCTGAGTTTACTACCTTATCAATACAAGCTCTGTTCGACTTCCTCTCAGCCCACTTTTTTTTTTTTAATGTTATTTATTTATTATATGTAAGTACACTGTAGCTGTCTTCAGACACCCCACAGGAGGGTATCAGATATCATTACAGATGGTTGTGAGCCACCACGTGGTTGCTGGGATTTGAACTCATGACCTCTGGAAGAGCAGTCAGTGCTCTTAACCACTGAGCCATCTCACCAGCCCTCTCAGCCCACTTCTAAAACCTTCTGAGCTCTGCGGTAGCCTGCTCAACTTGCATTCATTCTGGAAACTACATATACGCAAAATATAGTAACTGTGTGTTATAAGAGTTAACAGCACTAATTAAGATTAGAATAAAAGAATTTTAATTAGCCTTGACCAGATAACTAAAGTAGGCCTGGTTGTCTGACAAACTGAGTCCATTAAAACTGCCACACATTGTGAATTTATAACATTATGGAAAGATGCACACTTTCATATGTTTACAACCTAGAAAACTCATGACATCCTTAATGTTTTTTCCTATAAAAGTCAGTTTAAAGTTTGTCTTATAGAAAACAGGGAGCTAATTAAAGGGTATTTATGTGTGGGGAGCAGGGTGTTGTTATTATTGTTGTATTGGACACAGGGTCTCATGTAGCCCAACCCAGCCTCAAACTCACTATGTAGCAGAAGACAGCACTGAACTTCTGATCCTCTGCCTGTACTTCTTCAGGGATGAAAGTACTAGTACACTTCATTACTCCTGGTTTATATAATGCCAGGGATCAAATCCAGATCTTCACAGACTTTAGACAAGCACCTTACCATCTGAACTACATCCCTAGTCTTAAAGGGCTTTATTGAAGCAAGTCATATGATTACATTAGTATCTTAGGAAGACATTCTGTGACTGTGAGAAGAGAGGCTATAGAAGGCCAGGGTCAAGAGGCTACTGGGAGGCCACTGCAGTACATACAACCAACGAAAAGTCTCAACAGCAAGGTCCCACTGCAGAGGCTGTGGTGGACCAATAGGGAAGGACCAATAGAGGACAAAGCATAGGCTCAGGGTCCACAACCAGAGATGAAGACAGAGTAAGTCTGTAAGAGACCGGGGTCAGCGTTCCAAGGAAGTGCAAGTCATGCTGGGGCTATATATTAACTGTTGCAGATCCTACACTCTGAGCCAACACAGAATACAGGGAATACATGGGCATATTAGTTAGGTTCTCTAGAGAAACAGAACTGACAGAATGAATCATCTATCTAGCTGCATCTGCATGTATGTATGTATGTATGTATGTATGTATGTATGTATGTATGTGTGTGTGTGTGTATGTATGTATGTATGTATGTATGTATGTATGTATGTAGCCTGGCATGGTGGCTCATGCTTTTAATCCCAGCACTCTGGAGGCAAAGGGAGACAGATCTCTGCTTTCAAGGCCAGCCTGATCTACAGAGTGAGTTACAGGAAGTCAGGGTTACACAGAGAACTCTGCCTCAAAAACAAAACAAAACAAAAAAATAGAATGGGATTTATTAGAGTGGATTACAAGTTATGGAAAGTCCAAAAACACAGTAGTTGTTCAGTCCACAACACTGGATGTCTCAGCTGGTCTTCAGTATATGTCAGACTCGTGAATAATTAGCCTCTTAAGCCAGTGAAGGGATGCACTTGCCAGCAAGGATGAAAGCAAGCAGGCAAACAGCGAACATTTCTTTCTTCCATGGCTTTTACATAGGCTGCCACCAAAAGGTGTGGCCCAGACTAAAGATGGATCTTCCAGTCTCAAAAGATCTGGATTTAGGGTAGGGTTTCATGTTTCAAATGATTTAATTAAGAAAAGAATCCTTTCCAGGTGCAACCACCACTTGGCTCTTAGTTAATTCCAGCTGTAATCAAGTTGACAACCAAGAACAGCCACCAGAGAGGGAAGGAAGCCTTTTCTTGCACTGACTTCCCCTTGATTCATATTTGGATTCAACAAAACCTGTATGCTCATTTTGACGGCACATATATTAAAGTCAGAATAATACAAAGAAGATTAGCATGGCCCCGCACAAGGATGACATGGAAATTCGTGAAGAGTTATTTAAAAAAAAAAAAAGAACCAACAACAACAACCTGGTTGTGCTTCTTCTTTCCTTTTGTGTTTTTCTTTTGTTTTGTTTGTAGAGACAAGGTTTCTCTGTGTAGCCCACACTGTCATTGAACTCAGATCTACCTGCCTCTGCCTCCAGAGTGCTAGAATTAAAAGTGTAACCACTGCCCAGCTCTTAATTTTTTTATTTTTTATTCTTTATTTTTATTTAAAAATAATAATAATAACTTATTTAATGATAAAAATAATTCTTTTTATTCTATGTGTGTGAGTGTCTAGCTTGCATGTGTATCTTGTGCACCACACGAATACAGTTTCCATAGAGACCAGAAGAGGGCATCATATCCCCTGCAACTGGAGTTACGAATGGTTGTGAGCCTCCATATGGATGCTGGGAACTGAACTCAGGACCTTTGCAAGGGAAGCAGGTGTTCTTAACACCACTGAGCCACCTCTCCAGTGCCTAGTGATGTGTGTTTTTTATTGCAATCTGGCCACTCTAGCAATGAACAGAAAAGCTGCTGTCCAACCAGGCCTTCTCTGCCTGGCCTCAAAAATAATTTTGAGGAACACAGAATGATCGCAGCCACACTCAGGAACTGAAAAGAAGATCATATCAGTATCAACCAGCCAGATTCCATGTGAGATCTAATGATGATTTTGCTGAGCTCTCTCAGGAATCTGAGATCAGCGCACTGTGCCAGTACACTGAGCAGCACTGTTGATTTCCTGAGGAGGTTCAGGGGAGCAGATGCTTGGGGAAGTGGATTCTGGGAGCAGAGGATTCTGGGAGCAGAGGCTTTTCCCATTTGGTAGCACACAGTGGCCTTGTCAGTGCCATTACTTCAGCTCTGGAGATTCTGGAAGGATCCACACTGCACAGGGGGCTGCGGAGACTCAGCTCACAACCCAGTCATTCCAGCTCAACTCCTTCCTTGTCAGTCAGTACCATTCAGTGGAAGGCAGGCCTGAGTTTTGACACCAGTCATACCTCTTTGACCCCAGTCTTCCCTGGGCCTCAGTTTCCTCAGCTATGAAGTAACAACCTTGCCTTCACTGAAAAGTCACATAAAAACATTAAGTTCTGATTATTTTTCTGAATGTGGGAATTTAGGCAGAGAATCTCCAGGGTCTACAGGTGTTTCTCTCCTTGGCAGCTTCAGCTCTCTGTCATGGTCATCTCTGTCTCTTAAAAAGAAGATTAGAACCTGCAGAAGACTTGGGGCTCTCCCTGCAGACTGTGACAAGGAGGTCTCTAGAAAGCACTGATGCTTTGGTGAGGAGCGGGCAGGGGACTCAAAACAGTGCTTACCTCTCTGTCATCAGACTTCAGTGACATGGGATATTCACTGTGGATTATTGAGGTTATTAAAGATAAATATTCCAGCCCATCCCATCTTATTAAAGATAAATGCTCTGGCACATCTGAGCCTTATTGCTAAGGCTACTGAGTCAGATCCAATAATCTATATTTTAATAAGCTTCCCAGAAAATTCTAAACACACCAAAGTTTGAGAAGCACTACCTTTCCTACAACCATCCTCCTCCTCTGTGACCTGGTTTCCTCTGAAAGAAAGTGTCTGCTCTCAGTTTAGCTGGGGGCTGCAGTCTTTCTCTTTGGTTCCTGGCCTTTGGAATCTCCTGAACAATAAATTTTTCATTTGATAATAATGGTTGGGGGGGGTGTAATGCTCAAAAGATTCAGGATTGGAGCTGATTATCACAAAAATCAGCCAGGAATTTAAGAGACTAGAAATTTCAGCCCCTAACAAGTGGTAGTGGTCCGTGCCTTTGATCCTAGCACTGGGGAGGCAGAGGCAGGGGACCTCTTATGAGTTCCAGGCCAACCTGGTCTGCACAGAAAGTTCCAAGCAGCCAGAGCTATACAAAGAAACCCTGTCTGGAAAAAAAACAAATCAAAAAAATTTTCAGCCTTTATTTTAGTCAATGTTCTATTGTTGTGAAGAGACACCATGACCACAGCAACTCTTATAAAGGAAAACATTACATTGGAGCTGGCTTGCAGTTCAGAGCTTTAGTTCATTACCATAATAGCAGGAAGCATGGCAGCGCACAAGCAGACACGATGCTTCAGAAGGGAACCAAGATTTCTAAATCTGGATCCAAACGCAGGAGAAGAGAATGACACTGGGCCTGGCTTGAGCATCTAGAACCCAAAAGCCCAACCCTCAGTGACACACTTCCTCCAACAAGAATAGATCTACTCCAGCAAGGCCACACCTTCCAATTTTTCCCAAGAAGTACCACTCCCTAATGATCAAGCATTCAAATATGGGGGTCATTTTTTTTTCCTTAAAGAGAATGTGTGAGAATCTGTGCCTAAGTCACTTTCTCTCTCTCTCTCTCTCTCTCTCTCTTTTTTTTTTTTTTTTTTTGGTGTTTTGAGACAGGGTTTCTCTGTGTAGCCCTGGCTGTCCTGGAACTCTCTCTGTAGATCAGGCTAGCCTCGAACTCTCGAACTCAGAAATCCACCTGCCTCTGCCTCCCAAGTGCTGGGATTAAAGGCGTGCGCCACCACCGCCTGGCCCATAACAAATTATTTAATCAAAGTTTATGTGCAGTCAGATATGGTTGCACATATCGGTAATTCCAGCCCTCAGGAGATGAAAGCAGGAGGATCAGAGGTTCAAGGTCAACCTTGACTACATACAAGTTTGAGGCCAGGCTGGGTCACATCAGTCCTTAAGAATGAAGTTCCAATTGCATAGAGAAGGTGTGACTCAAGTGGAACCCAGTAAGATCCCTCTCTAGTCCCTCTTGGCTTCTTGGAATAGCATTCTCTCTTCCCAGGCATAGGGTGGAACCCGTTATGAAATAGGAGTCTTATGACTGTTGGGGTTCAGGAGTCACCCCACAAACCACACAAACACTGATCTCAGTTAAACAAGGATGATTTATTGAATGCATATCCCAAGACTAATAAGCCAGGGCAACAACTCAAAGCTGTGTGCTAGCCATTTCTCAGGGCTAGGTTATAAAGGTTAAAACTGCAAAAACCACAATGAGCTCATATGCAGGTGCTGGAAGTGCTGCCCAGTGGTCAGCTCTGACTCAAGCTTTTTAGACATAACCTTTAATTTGATGAGTCCTTTGTGAAGCTTATAGTTGTGGAATTTCTTAAGATTAACACACCCTGGGGCTAGAGAGATGGCTCAGTGGTTTAGAGAACTGACTACTTTTCCAGAGGTCCTGAGTTCAATTCTCAGTAACCACATGGTGAATCACAACCATCTGTAATGGGATCTGATGTCCTCTTCTGGTGTATCTGAAGACACCATAGTGTATTCATATACATAAATAAATATTTTTTAAAAAAGAATGTTTTAAAAAAAGATTCAAAAACAAACAAACAAACAAAAAAAGGTGTGTGGTGGCACACACCTTTAATCCCAGCACTTGGGAGGCAGAGGCAGGCAGATTTCTGAATTCGAGGCCAGCCTGGTCTACAGAGTGAGTTCCAGGACAGCCAGGGCTACACAGAGAAACCCTGTCTCGAAAAACCTAAAAAAAAAAAAAAAAAAAGATTAACATACCCCATAACATATAGAACATAACAGTACCCTGTCAGCATGTGGTCAGCACGGTCCTGCTCTGAGTTAACTTATTTTTCTGTGTCAATGACTGGCAGGCATATTATAGCAACAATATGAAGTAGCTGGCAGGCATGGAACAAAATGGCTACAGCCATGCTAAGGAGGCAGGCTTCAACAATGACCTGGTATCAGAAAGGAAGATGGAAAAGCCGGGGGAAAATTCAGGCAATATTCTGGGTGTTATCACTTACTTTTGGAAAAGCAGATTCTGATTTCTATGAACCTCTTTTATAAAAAAGTGGCTCAGAAACTGGGCAGTGGTGGTCCACGCCTTTAATCCTAGCACTTGTTGGACAGAAGCAGGCAGATCTCTGAGTTTGAGGCCAGCCTGGTCTACAGAGTGACTTCCAGGACAGCCAGGGCTATACAGAGAAACCTTGTCTTGAAGAACCAAAATAGATAGATAGATAGATGATAGATAGATAGATAGATAGATAGATAGATAGATAGATAGATAGACAGACAGTGTCTCTGATGTTATGTATCTATGTTTGTGTATTCCACATGTGTCCCAGTGCTCCAAAGGGGATAGAAGAGGGCATCACATCCCCTGGAGCTGGAGTTACAGGAAATTGCAAGCAGACTGACCTAGACACTGGGAACTCAAGGTCCTCTAGCAGAGCAAAGAGGATTCTTAACTACTGAAACATCTTCCCAGTTCCATCTATGATCCTTCTTAGTGAAATAGATTCTAATTTCAGAATTCTAGCTTCAGAAACAAAATGGGGACTAAGACCCAAGAGGGCCCGGGAAGTGAGAAAGAGACTTTGCTTTGCCTTTTTTTTTTTTTTTTTTTTTGGTTTTGGTTTTTTGAGATGGGATTTTCTGGAACTTGCTCAGTAGACCAGGTTGGCCTTGATCTCACAGAGATACATGGCCTCTGCCTCCTGAGTGCTAGGATTAATGGCATGTGCCACCCCTTTCCTGTAAGACTTTTCTGGGATTCAAAGTGTCCCACTCTGGGTTATTGTCTCCCAAGACTCAACCATCACAAGTCACATAGCTGGTATCACAGATCGTTGGTATGTGGAAAAATAAATTAGTTGGTTTCAAAATAAGACCAAGAGGACTCTGCCCAGGATGCAGACTTTGTCATACTTTAACCCGATTCTGTCACCTGGTCCTTGTGTCATACTTCTTTGCAGAATGTGGTTAAGTCTGAAGTGCCAACCACTGTGCTGCAACTTTCTGACCTACATTCAGAGGAGAAGTGGGGATTGCACTGCTCTAGTAAAGCCTGTGCCAGAGAGGACAGGGCTTCCCTGCAGACCCCTGAGCCAGGCTTCTGATTACAGTCCACACTACACTGGGTGGGGGTTTCAGCAGGCCAGGAGCACTGGAATTGGGTACAGCCCTGCGCGTTGGTATCAGTCATGGCAGAGACA